TTGTCATTGTGCAAACATCATAGAGTCTGCTTATACCAAGTAAGACAGCTATGAGACACAATCTAATGGGACCACTGTTGTATATGTGGTGCATCAATGACTGAAATATGTGTAACATAACTGTACATGAAACACTCACAATAAGCAAAACTGTAGAGATGGGAAGCATATTAGTGATTACTAGAGGTTGGGGGGAAGAAAAAAATGGGGATTGCTAATGGGTATATACTTCTTTGGGAAATGACAAAAATATTCTGTATGAAAATGGTTGCACAACCTTGTGAATATACTAAGAACCACCAAATTATACATTTTTTTAAAAAGTTGACTTTACTGTGATATGAAGTACATCTCAATAAAAATTGTCATAAAAAAGAGTTTCAGCTGTTGAATAAAATAATAATAGAATTAAAATCTCACTATTTTGCAATTCATCATGAAATAACAGATCTAGGCAATGGTCATCAGTGGCTGCTAAAACCCAACTTAAAAGCTGATGATATCTGACTTCCTGCACGACCTATGTAACAAAAGGAGATAAGACTGCATGTCCCCTGATAGAAGTACACATACAAGTCTGCAATATGGCAGTCAAAAAAATGATGTAATTTTTATTAAACCTTTAGACCTAACTTCCAGCTGAAACAAAATAAGAGATTTTAGAGGACCCTGTTCATGACACCAATGGGATGCATTCAGCAAAATCCAGACTGTAGGAAACCATTAAGGGTGAATGACATGGGTCAAGTCTATTTAAGAGACACTTAAATAGAACCAACATATAAGCTTTGTGTGGACCCCGATTCTAATAAGCCAAATGCACGAGTATATACAAAAGTCAGGGGCATTCAAACACCAAGTAAACACTTCATAATATAAAAGAATTGTTATTAATTTTTCAGTGTCCTAATGGTATTGCAATTATGTTCTTAAAAGGGAGTCCTTATTTTTTGTAAATAAATACTAAAATATTTATGCAAAACATTATGCAGCATTTGGGATCATTTTTATAATACATGGAGAAAGCAAGGACACTGATCAGACAAGATGGCCATGCATTAATTGTCTTGGTAGCAGGGTAAAGGGTACACAGAAATTCAATGTATTATTCTATTTCTATGCACATTAAAATTCTCCACTGAAAAGGATTTAAGAAAAATTTACTAAGCACCTTTTTCAGGCCACATACCATGGAAAGTGCTTTCATCTACACTATTGTCCAGCCTTTTATTCCCATCAACTGGTGCCTTACCTGGACACTCGTAGGCAATGACTATTCAGGCAATAACTGAATAAATGAATCATTTCCTTTATGAATATGTGTTTAAACAAAAAGCATGAACCTAGTGTTCATAATAACATTATTCATAATAGCCAAATGCAGCCACCCTGACAAGTAGATCATTGACCCCATATTGCAAATGAAGAAATCTGAGGCTCAGTCTGGCCAACATGATCCAGTTTTTATGAGCAAGACTGTTATTACTCTGCCCCAAATAGGAGTGCTTAAACTTTTTTTTAAGTGGGAAGAAGTACACCATCTTATGTTCTAATTTGCCATCCTCAATAAAGAATGTTATCCCTTCTGTAGGCGTGTGGGTACTAGCATGCTGAGGACCTGTGCCTTCTCAAATTAGGTATATCTGTGGACATTTAGCCACAATGTAGAAGGACAAATCATTATTTTCATGTTCTTCCAAAGGAAAAGCTTAGACGCACTATTGATTTTCCTATCTACCATCAACCCAAATCACTCAGGGTGATAATACTACATACAATATTTGGTCACTTTCTCTCTCTTTGTGTTTGTTAGATTGAAAAAAAGGGGGGGGGGGAACCCTACATTGATTCACTTCTATCTGCCCTATGAAATCTTCAAAAACATTAATCCCTATTTTTCTCTTCTTAGTCAACTTTCTGCTATCTTTGCTTTATACTCTCAAATTCACGTAAAAAATAGTCTAGATATTGTGTTTTCAAAGCTGACACATATACCTATACACACATGCATGACTGTCTTTCATAATGCTTGCTTTGTTCAGCAAAAAAAGTATAATAATACATGCCAGTTTTTCTTATTGGACAGAAACATTTTTTAAAATCAATTCCATAAAAATGAATAAAATCCTAAATACCTTTTTCCTTTCACTGTTCAAAAAAAAATCTATATTAGTCATTTTATCAAAGGCAAAACCAGGCCATTTTCAGCATTAATACTGCCATCTTTTTGGAACATTCTTTTAAGAGTTTCATTTCATTATATTAAGTGCAAAAAAGAAATCATCTTGATTTTTAAAAGTCAGCCTTGCTAACTTCAATTCCTGACTACACCATGTGCTACGGTGTGAAAGGGCTTTGTCCCCTAAGGGTTCAAGTGTTAGAAGCTCTGTCCCCAGTGTGGCAATGCTGAGAGATGGTGGGACCCTTAAGAGGTGGGGCCTACTGGGAACTGTTCAGGTCACTGAAGGAACTGACCTGGGAAGGGATTAAGGTCGTTCTTGTGGGACCCTGAATAGGTTTTTATGAAAGAAAGTTGTTGTAAAGAGAAAGCCTGACCCTTGCATCGTTCTTTCTGTCTTCCTGATTTCACTACACGATGTCTCCTCACCTCCATGGTGCAATGCAGCCAGCAGGGCCAACCATGCTGTTTGAACTTTCAACTTCAAAACTGAATTAAATAAACCTCTTTTCTTTACAAATTACTTAGCCTCATATATTTTATTATAGTAATAGAAAAGAGATTAACAACACCATGTGAGAATATACCATAGAAAACCAAGAAAGTCTAATCAACTGAAAATCTAAACTCAGTCTGATTCACACCAGTGTCTCCTCCTCAGGACCTCACACCAGGGGCCTCGCCCACTGATAGTCTTCTTTTGCAGTAGGCTCCCCATATCCCAGTTTGGGTAATATATAAAAAACAGAAAATCAGGGGCTGGGGCTGTAGCTCAGTGACAGAGTGCTTGCTTAGCATGTGTGAGGCCCTGGGTTCGATCCTCAGCACAACATAAAAATAAACAAATAAAAATAACATAAAAATAAACAAATAAAATAACTACAAAAAATAAAAAAAAAAAAGATCAGAAATCAGTGATGGATCAGGAAGAGCAAAGAGTGTGACTAAATGCAGTGGCACTGGGTACCCTGGCTGTGGATCTAGAAATGGAGACACCTGAATTCTTACCTCATGAGTCAGCAACTTCACAGCAGCTAAATAGTGTTATTCTGAGAAATAAATATTTGTGAGGCATTTAGATGGACAAGTCCAGAGCCAAAATAGAAGACAGGAATCTTCAAAGAACCTTCTGGATTTAAGTCTTTGTGCCCAGGGGTCAGCATCACCTGGGCCTTCCAAGGTCCTGCATGAAGCCCTTCCCTCCAAGAGCTTTTGAAGTGGTCAGCCTAGCCCACGGAGGAGGCCTTTATGTAAATGTCCATCTCAGCAGTCAGTCAGACAAGGAAACTCCCTCCCAGGCCTGTTCTGCATTTGGCATGTTCTCCCAGCATGGGCCACAGCTGACAACACACTGTTGGCACAGTCTCTGACCCCCAAGGTCACCCTACTCTACAGCAATCCTAACCTGAACTCACCTTTTAAACACTGAGTTAAACAAAATGAACTCTCTTCCTCCCGCTACCTGGTACAATCCTATTAAAAGTTGTGTTCATTCCTGCTGGGTCTCTATTTAGTGACTGCTCCTCTCTGGAAACTCCAGGGATCTGTGTACTTCACACTGCAAGCACAAATAGAGAGCCACTCAGAAGGCCAAGTGACTTAGCAAGCCACACAGCCAGAGAGCTGTCCTACTTGTAACAGGCAAAGCATCGCAGATCATAGCTTTGATCAACCAGTGAAATGTGGACGTTTCTCCAAGAGAGGCCTCTAACCTGTGTAAATACCCCAGCACTTCTCCAACTGAACCGTGTTACTTGGAGTAACACACATACAAAGGTCTGTTTGCAAAGCCCTGGTGCTCAGGGAAAGGAGGTGAGAATTCAGATGCACAGGGGATAAATCAGCAGCTCTCCTTCCCCATCTCCCCTGCTTTACTCGGTCTCTCGCTGCCTCTAACGTACACCTTTATACCAGCACTTATCACAGCCGCTACAGTGCTCTCTGTGCTCCTCCCTGCTCTGCACACTTCTGTTAGCTGCTCACTCTACACGCCAAGCTCCTTCTCAGAAGGGATCATCTACTGTCCTCTCTATGGCTGCAGTTCCTTATGCTATCTGTTGCCCATAGTCTAGTGAAAAATACTTTAATCTGGAGGAACTGACAAAAGCAAAGGGAAAATCCAGCTAAGACTGAGCAGAAAGATGCAGGCATTGAAAAAGTCAACACCTTCAGTGGCCAAACAAGTAAGTCGAGGCTGGTGGGTAGACTGTCCTTACTTATGTAAGAGGCAGAGGCCACATAGCACTGCAGTCTTTCTTGGGGACAGAGGCCCAGTGTAGACTTATCATTCCATGTTCCTGGAGAGCAGAGAAATGCTAATTTTTATGTGGAATATCTCAAGTTTAATTAGAATCGATCCAGCATGTTTTAAACATTATATGTCTCAAACAAATTGAGCCTTGGGCCAGTATTTCCACAAACCACCCACTGTGACCTGAGCCAGATTTGCACCAGTTCTAGCTCCACAGCATCCATTTTAAGCCAAACTGACTCAAATGGACACAAATGGAATCTTTTCACAATAACTGTAGTTTTACTTCTATGTGTATAAACTACAAAAAAAGGGAAGGGGGCTGAATGTGTACTAGACACCTTCCAAAAGGTGGCCTGCGGTGTCTCTCAACACAACTCCCCCCTAATGTTTCTGGAACTATGCTCTTTCTCCTTTAGCTGTTCATCCCAACCATCCAGTGGAATTTCCAACCAGAATGGCCCCCCTGTGTCTAGCCTTCATCTTTGCCACGATACTCTAAGATTCATTCCCCTCTTTCTCTGATAATAATGGGTGTCAGAGACAATGACGGAGAAAGGCAACTCTTACCCTTGTGGTGGTGATGTCCCACACTCTGCCCTCATCCTGCACAGTAGAACGTCCATTGTCATCCAAGAAACTTCGCCCTTCTTCCCTCTTTGGAACGTGGAGTGCACATAGGCATTTAGTGGCCGGAAAGAAGAGAAGAATCCTGTTCTCTGGTTGTACAAGCCAAGCACCCGCTGGGAAACCACTCTCACCTACAGAAGAAATCATCAGCCAAGTTGTAATTCCAGGGAGGAAATGTAACGAGGACCTTTGATCTTGACTCAATGCTCTAAGTACTTCGTGGATCAGACCCAAATCTCAGAGCCTCACTGAGCTCTCAGTGAGAGGGTGGTCTTTCCCCTGTGGAACCATCACTCCAGTTGGACACGTGGCTAGGTTTAAGGACTCTCAGAACTTGACAAGTGAAATGCTTGTGGCCTCCTCCACTGACACAGGCCAACTAACACCCAAGCTGGACTAGGCACCAGAATGAGGACTTCACCCCCATCCCACACTGTTTCTTCTATTCCAGTCAATTCACCCCAGACATATGTGCAAACTTCTAAAGGAACACATATTCATCCATTCAGAGACCAACTTCTCAAGGTTACTGCTCTAATAGAATTAACTCTGCTTCTGTAATTTGAAATCAATGGATTTTAAAGACTAACCAAATTCATTTTTTTCCTTAAAATTTCCCATTGTTATATTTTGCAGATCAGAAATGACTACAGGTGCTAACGGAGTCCTCTGATTAACTAACGCAGTGAATGCACAAGTGGAGAGGGTGTTTAAAGTTTGGCAAAACGAACAAGACAAATTTCAATATTTCTCTCTGAATAAATTAAAGAAAGGAAAAACATTCCAATTCCCCACCAGGTAAGCCTGCCTCAAGTTGAAGCATCCCCATAGATTTGTACTAGTATCTAAGCATCCATCCATTGATTTTCATGTTTTCCAATCAACACCAAATCCAAAAGGAGGGAGAAGGGGGGAAAAAAAAAACATTGATTCTGAGCAAAAGACATGAAAGAAATGCCTCTGGCTATCTCAGTTATTAACAAACATTCATATGTTCTAGGATCTGTTGGGCATTATCTAAGGCATGAAGATCACAAACCACACTGTAGCACCTGTCCCCAACCCCACAAGGGCTCATGCTCCAAATCAAGCGGGGGCAGTGGAGCCAGAGCCAAGTTGAACAGTTTCCAAGTTGGTCCCAACAGGAGCTGTGCAATTCTTCAGCACATTCCTGCTCTGCATAGGAGTAAACTTTCACCTCCAACAAAGACATAATGAAGAAAGATCCAGAAGCAAAATGCAGCTCCATGCAAGTGAACTTCTGAGATGGAATTTTTGGTACAGGAGGTTGAGCAATGTCTACAAGGATGCATAAAATTAATTCAGAGGCTAAAGCCCACCCCTCCTGACCTCCTAGAAACACCTCCTTGAGTCAGCCTTAGATATCTGCATTCCAATGAAACACAGAAATGCCACTCCTTTTGAAAAGAATTCATAGCACATACATATAGTTTTTTTCCCTATCAGATGCCTTTCCAGCTGTAGAGTGTCTTAAGGGAAGGTAAGATTAGTCTGAGGAATAATTAATTAACTGCAAACAGCTTTGATATCACTGTATTAATTACTGAAAAGAAGAAAATAGCCGAGTACTTTGGCTTTTCAGTACTTCAAGAACTCCCCAGCACTGGCTAGAAGCTCATTGCTCTGGCTCACCACAGAAAGGTCAGGGCTGGCCCAAGGACAGACTATGAGGGTAGCCAAGTGTATCCTGTTTACAGAAATTGGTACTCAGGGCAGCTTCAGTCAAGGCCTGATGAATGAATGACATCCAGTCTGTCCCTTTTTTTCTCCCCTGCCAGCAAAACTCAGAATTCCTATGCCTTATCCCCATTTTCTATCAGAGTGATTCCTATCTAAACAAACAAACAGACCAGATTTCCAGAAAAGATGACACACCAATCAATGCCTCTTATTATGCATTTATGTCAATTCGCATCCCTCTAAATGTGACTTTTTCTCAGTCCCCACAACATGCTAGGTGCGTGGATGGTTTTATGCACATCTCCTCTGTCCTCAGCCACTGGAAGCTCTGGAGCCACTTCCACACCTAAGAGTATAGACCAGGATTCAAAATCTGGCAGGTCTGTCTGATTACAATTAGCATGGACATCCAGATCCCTCTTAGTGGCTGGGAAAAGGTCAGGGGAGGATTGGCGGCGGAGGTGGGCAGACATGACCCCAGCCAGCAGGCTGTGGGGAAGGAAATTTTACATGTGACCTATGTCCCCCTCCCTGCTTGACAATCCCACCCAACAGTGTTTCTATTTCTCTATGTCCCTCCCAACCCGATCGGCGTTGACCTGTTCAAAAGAAGGGAATATTGGTTGCGATTTAGCACTTAACAGGTTTCTGACTTTGCTAAGTGATTCAGCAGGATCCTGGCAAAATACATCAAGCTCACTCAAAGACTGCTGCCTTCTGCAGAATTCCTGTCTTCACAATAGCTCTCTGCATCACGCTGACTCTTCCCCTGCAGCCTGCCTGTGTTTCCTGGTGGGTAGACGATGGCATTCAAAAAGTCCCAAGTGACTGCCTCCATCACTGAGAGGAAAAAGGTGAGGAGCAAGTGGCATGTTGGACTCTTTCCTCACCCAGAGACCTGACATGCAATTTTGGAACTGTACCCAGGGAACAGCAAATGGACAGCAGACAGCCACCAAGAGTGACAAGGACTCCCTCCACTGTTCTCACGGGTATAAGGTTGTCCTCCAGAAATGAGGAAATCTGTGCCTGATAGATCAAAGCAGACACTCAGTGTGACATTGCGGCATAGGCCTGTGTCCTCTATACTTGCACAGAATCCTCTTATGTCCCCTGTCATATGCTGAGTTGTGTCATGTCAGTGCCATCCAGTAGACAGGGAAAGCCTCCAGTCGAGAAGCCTGTCCTAAGATTCATCCACATATTAATTACCCCTCTCATACCGTGGTGCTTGACACACTTTAAGAAAACAGTCTTCTCCCCTAAGCCAATAAGACTAAATGTAATTAATAAAAAGAATTAATATGGATCATGAAAGGCAGCAGTGGAAACAGGAGGAAAGTGAAAAGGACATGTTGGTTGTCAATACCTATCCCAGCACCAGATAAAGGAGAAAAAAAATCTTATCCTGAAGATTCCACGCCTCCCACCCTGGCGGGGAGGGAGCGCATATCAAGAGTGAAGTTTAAGGTCAACACTCCAGTTTCAGGTATCCGGAAATACCCAAACTCCTTCTTTTGGCTCTGACTCCCGGAGGCTCTAGGAGGCACCTGCTGGTGGTGCGAGTCCTCACGCACTCTGTCAACGGGAGCAGGTGAGCTATGTCACCAACAAAAACATCCACTCAGTCCACTAGTTGCATCTGTGAGTGGAGCTTCACAGGGTGGGAAGAAGTCTGTTTATACAATCTCTGTGAGTTTTGATGAAAGTCAATCTCCTAGAGTTTGGTCAACTCTAGGACACCTAAAAGTGAGTTTCTGAAGTTGAAAGCCTATTAGAGAGCTGACCCTGACCTATGACAAGGCCATCAGGTACATGGCACCTGTAAGGACCTCCTGGATACCTCCTGACCTCCCATACCTCTACAGCGAGGCTTCTTAACCTCAGCACTATTGACCTTGTGGGGCCAGATGATTCCTTCTGGTGAAGGCAGTGCTAGGCAAGGTAGGGTGGTTGGCAGCATCCCTAGCCTCAACCCACAAGGTGCCAAGATAACAACAACCAAATATGTCTCCAGATATTATCCAGTGTCCCTTGGCGAGCAAAATATCCCCAGTTGAGAATCAACACTCGATAAGTAAAATAAAAGGACTTCAGGTAGCTTCTTGGGAGCCAGAAGGTCAGAAAGCTCAGAACACCAGATCACATTAGTACCTCTGCTGATCAGGGCTCGAGAAGGTCCCCCAACACTTGCTCCTTTAGAATTCGGTCTTGCTATTTCATGTCATGGTATCAGACAACCAAAACTTTTAGAATGAGGAGAGATAAAAAGCAAGTTTAACCTTTTGTAGAAACTCAAAACATGTTTCACATGAGTGAAAAGGCTATTGTTGATTTTCTCCCAGAGGGGCTGTCTGAATTGTTTCCTAACATTTTCAATCCCAGAATGATATATGGTGATGCACTAATAGTTTTAGCTCTGCAGCCTGCTGCAGCGTTCTGCAATAGTGCTGATCCTACTGAATACGCCAGCCCCTGGACAGAGCTCCAGTCTTGTGGAAACTCATTAATGTCCCAGGGAAAAGGCAACTACATGTCAGTTTGGTAGTCTTGCCACTATTCATCAATCACAGACCAATTTTCAATAAAACCTGAGAGTAATGGAATTAGAGGAATAATAATGGAAGGTGAAATTCCACCCTACTTCTATCTTGCTTAGCTAATGAGAATTGCCATCCAGAGTTTTGCTTAAATAATATTAAAATATCTCAGTCAGACTGCCACAATTGGGTTTACTATGCTAGAAAAATTATACTGATATTTAAATCCTATAATCCAAAGCAATCAGATTAAAGCAACACCTTCCAGTTGATTCAGACAGTGGATTACTAAGAATATCCCTGAACTACATACTTTTTCGAAACTATCAAATTTCAAGAAGTACCTTAAGTTAATATCCTTAAATTAACATGATTTTCTTATCTATCCCATGGGGAAAAAATGAAAACTTCTCAGAGTCTAATATATTCAGGGATCAAAAATAAATTTATAGAGGTTCTGATTTTCCGTGAGAAAGCTAGTAAGTGCTTTATAGAGCAAAGTCTCTAGATTGTATTTGAAAGGTTAATATAAATGACACTTCTCTCAACTATTCAGAATGTGACTGCAATACCATCTCCAGAAAGCCCAAAGGCTTGTATCATGGGTAACAAAACACCACGCTCCCCAGGGTTCTGTGTTTCTAGACAACCTCCCTGGGGGGTGGGGGTGGGGGGGACAGTGGGGAACAGCACGCATCCTGCTGAGTCACCTCACCAAGACAATCTACAATCAGGCCAGGAGCTGCCCAGGGGAGGTGTGTCCCATGGAAGAGGAACGCCATAACACAGCCACTTACCCCAGTCTGGTCTCCCATGAGTGCTGGCAGGGCTCTGAGGTCACCCTAGTAGCCAAATGACTGCCACAATTCCACCAGCCCCTGGAAGGAGCAGTCTTGATTTGGGCTGAAGGCAGAAAGCAGGCTTACTTGGGGGCCTGTGTCCCAGCCCTAGCCTCTTACACCCCTATGTCGTGAACAAGGATGCATCAAATAACTACACTGATGCACTGATAGAAAGCCAGCAGCTTTGGAGGGTACAAGAAAGACCAACATCATGCAGTGATAATAGCAGTGTCAACCACTTCAGGGAAACCTTCCCCCACCAGGACAGTACAGCAATGTGAATCTAGAAATCCCACTGCTTCACATTTCCAAATGTATCCTTGGGAGACGAATCAGACAAATGTTCAAAGATGTATGTACAAGGATATTCAGTGCATCATTAATTATTCATAAGAGTAAAAAGTCAGAGGCAACCTAAACGTCCATCAAAAAGGGAATGGTTAAGTAGGTTTGAGGCAGCCACGCAATGGGGTACACATAAGCATAGCACCTCTCCCTGCTCTGAACCCATGCAAGTCCCACCACACTCCTACAAAGTACTGTTTTGACTGCACTCACTTCAAAGATGCAGTAAATGGAAAATAGAGAAGTTAACTGACTCTCCATGGTCAATAGCTATGAAGTGATGGCTTCATGATTGAATCCAAACAATGCTTTGAAGCCATTCTCTTATCCACTGTGCTCCCTGGCTGCAGACCTGGGAGAAACAGTCACAATATACCAAGTCAAAAGTAATAATAATGATGATGCAATAGATGGTATGATCCTATCATTGTCAAATGTGCCTGAAATTTTATAGTAAAAAAAAAATATCTATAGGATTATACCATGAAGTCATACAGATGCATTCTCTCTGGATGATGGAATTTGGAGGGTTTTTTGCTTTCTACTGTGCACCTTCTCAACATCATATGAGTTTCTTCACATGAGTAGGTGGCATAAAATACCTAGGAAATAGTTAATTCTATTTAGAAAGGTAAAAGGGCATAAGCAGTCTTGGTAGTATTTGAGCAGGAGGAGAGTAGGGAAAGACAGATATCAGGTGAACTTACAGATTGGCGAGACGCAGAATCCTCAGCCAAGGTGCTCCTCGGTCATGTGTAGAAATCATGAGCCTCTTTCTTTTTCATTCACCCAGAGATGCTTTACAGCAGGCACTATCCTGGGAAGATGGAGACCGAAAGACAACATGGGTCTTGCCCTCAGAGCTCATGGGAGCTCAGAAGGGCTGACAGGGGGGTAAACAGGCAAATATATAACTGCGATATGAAATGGAGTGTGTCATCTCCATGAGGAAGGTACAGAGAAGGAGCCACCATAGTTCAGAGGCAGTAAATTGTGCCTTAGAACAAAGGCATAAGAGTAGGGTCCCTGCGTGAAAAGGTTGGGTGTGATCAGGTAAAGGGGACAGGTAAGGGTAAGAAGGTTCTCTCCAAGAAGGGGAAGGAACACATGCAAGACGCCAGACCAGAAAGCCTGTGGGATGCACAGGAGGCAGAAGGGAGGTGAGCTTGGCTCGGATGGAGACCTGTGACCTGGAGATGTTTAGACTCTTGCTTCTTAGACTACAGAGAGCTCTGTCTATACTGGCCACACCTTTGTGAGCCAGGATGAGAGGTACTTCTGGGAGAAGGGTCTTGACTGCCTGAGCCAAGTTGCCACACCCCAAGTCTCCTGAAATGTTTAGCCACAGGAACCAGATAAACAAAGACCTCTTGGAGTTACCTCGGGTCCCTAGGGTGTCTGAAACATGAGAAGCCACCATTGTAGGCACCATTCCACCAGGAATTCCAGGATCTGAAACAGCTGGCAGGGAATCCCAGTGGTTTGAGGGAAAATGCAGACAAGAACAGAAACATCCCACTTCACTTTTGGATCCCACTGAATTTGCTCTCTACAGAGAAGTGGTCTGTAGAGAGAATTCAGGAGGTCCTGGAAATTACATGGGGGGAAATATCTTTATTTTCACTAATCTCCAACTGAAACTGAACATTCCTTCCATTACAAAAGTGGGCCTGGGGGCTGGGGTTGTGGCTCAGTGGCAGAGTGCTTGCCTAGCTTGTGTGAGGCACTGGGTTCGAGTCTCAGCATCACATATAAATAAATAAAATAAACATTTTTTTAAAAAATGTGGGTCTGGTCCAGGGTAGTTTTAGTAGTAACCACAAATTTGCAGCAGTAGACGTTTCAAGATAATTCTATATCCTGTCATTCATTACTGCAATCTCAAAGTTACACCACTTATAAGTGATGTGACTTTGGACCCACAGTAAGGAGCTCAAGGTGTTCAAAGATGTGAGTACACCACACAGCCACTGACCCCAGCCTGGTCACCCCTGAGAGTTTAGAGGGCTCTGCGTCACCCTACTGGCCCAAATGACCCACCACTCCACTGGCCCCAGGAAGGAACTGTCCTGGTTGGAGCTGTAGGCAGGAAATAGGCAGGCAAATGGGCACCCTTGAAGGCCCAAGACCCAGCCCTAGACTCCTCTACTGACCTATGGCTGGGTCTTATTTAATGAAATAATAAAGAAGCATGCACACTGCTCAATCATAAACTGGATCTACTATTTTGACAATGCATCTCAATACAATCAGATTGCTTTATATTCTGTGGCCTTCATGTTTTGCATTTAAAAATGCTATCTGAAAAATGGTCCATAGGGCTGCCAAAGGGGTCCCCTGACACTACAGGGGAAGTTAATCCCTCAGCAAGAGCCCTATTAATATGTAAGTCACATTGTGTCACTCCTGTGCCAACCCTCTAGCAACTTCCACCTCAGAGGCCAAGCTCCCCTCCCCTCCCGACGTCACTTGTGGGGTCTCATCTCCTGCTCCTCTTGCCCTCCTCTGACTGGCACAGGATTCCAGGCCAATCCTCAGTCCTGCCAATGAGGCCCACCCCTGCCTCAGAGCCTCCGCTCCAACTGGTCCCTCTGCCTGATGGTTGTATCCCCGCGACTACAAGGCTTCCTTTCTCACTTCCTCCAGGCTTCACTTGAAAGACATGTTCTCTGAGCTGGGGACATAGCCCATCGTGGTAGGGTGCTTGCCTTCCATGCACAAGGCTCTGGGTTCAATCCCTTGCAGCATACACACAAAAAAAGATGAAGATGTCACTACCTCCCCAAACTCCTATTCCTTTCCCCATTTGATTTTTAATCCTGAGCCTTTATCACTCCTTAAATACATAGAAATATGTATTTTCATTTTTTATATAGTTGTTTTTTCCTTTCTCCACATGAACTCTGGGAGGCAGAGATTTTTCTGCTTTATACACCATTGTATTCCAAGTGCCTAGAACCTCATCTAGCACACAGTTAAGACCTTAAACATTATTTGTTGGATCAATTAATGAGTCGATTGACATCTGTCATGACACTCAGCTCCTGGCTCCTTCCATTCATGTTAAATTTTAAAGTCTCTCTGACCCATTGCAGTAATTGAGAGAAAAGAAAAATCGTAACAAATGTGCTTTTGAAATTGTGGTCACCCAAGAAAAGTAGCTTAATTATCAACCACCAGCAGATGGGAGATATATATTTTTTTTCTTTAACAAAGAGAGCTGTTTCAAAGATGGAATAGTTCACACACACACACACACACACACACACACACACACACACCACATTATTAAATCCAAGTATATTGTAAAACAAATATAAAAAAATTGGAAAAATTGGGGATATGGTTTAAATCCAAGAAAAGCACCCTGACCTAGACTGCAACAGAAGTGGTGATAGGTAATGAGACCATCCCACAGACCTCACCAGGCAAGAGACAGAGGGAAGTGACAGCAAAAGAACTCACGAGTAAATGAGGTGACAAATCACCGCTTGGCCACTTCTCCACTTCACCTGCCGATGCTAAGATGCAAAATTACTCCCATTTAAGGGACCGCTGCTTGCTGTAGTAAAGTCACATTTATTGGCCAAACACCTTTAAAATCAGAAGGGCTGTCTTGGCAGCAAGGAATAAAAAGCACCTGATTTCATTTTAAAACCTGAAGGGTTCTGTTTTAATAAGAACAGCCTCTTCTTTGGGAATAATCTACCAACCAAGGCTAAGACTGGATTTTTTGTCACTCTTATAAAATGTAAGTCAAGCACAAATAAATAAATACTATTTTATGTCACAAACATCCTGATACACACACACACACACACACATACATATATATACACCCACATATATGGGTGTGTATGTATATCCTGATATATATGTCATCCTGATGTATATATGTATATATAGGCACATACATACATACGTACATATACACATGTATGTGTGTGTGTATATAGAGAGACCATATATATATATATACACTCATCACTCACACATTATAAAATGTCAGAAAATAAAGTTTCCCAACCCAAATTCTTCATTGCAGCACAGCTTCTCAAGCTTCTCCTAGCACCCCGCCAAGTGTTTTTGCGAAGGGCATCCTAAAAGGCACACTTCCCAGTCTACATCTGACTTAACTGTCCCCAGCATTCGTCCCCCCATCTCCCCACCCCTGCAATTCACCACTCGCTCTTACTTCTCCTACTTGTCTGATTACTCATTTTTAGTTCCCTGTGAAACTCTACTTCCTCTGCCCAAGTCTTAAATCTGAGTCTACAAATTAAATATCTTCAGGGGCCAAGAAGCTGCCCAAAATGAGAGAAGGAGGAAGACACCTGGCTACTGTAACGTGCTGGGGAGTACCAGCTGGCTGACAAGACCTGGCTGCTGAGTGCCATCCCTCATTTATGGGCATCAGGTGGTCAGATCACCCAATTTGTCAAGAACACCCACAAATCTTATTTTTATGGGAACTTTCCCAGTTTTTAAAATGTTGGCACTATTGTTTCTCATGTGCTAATACTGTAGGCCAAACCAAAGAAACCCGCAGCCTGGATACAATCTGCTGGCCTCCAGATTGTGGTCTTCACCCCCCACCTCACCCCACGTTTCCTCCTTGTCCCTCTGCTCTTCTCCCTGGCCAATGCCATCTAACCCCATGTAATTATGGAGCCCAGGTGTCTGTCTCCAACCCAGACCTCCCTCTTACATTCTGGACTCCTACAACTGCCTGCTGAACATGTCCATTTGAATGTCCCATTAGGACTTTAAAATAAACATATCCAAAGCTTCCCTTTATCCTCTATTCCCACTGCACCTGCCTCCCAAGCCAAACACCTGGAGATCATGTCAGAGTCCTCCCAGGTCAGCTGACACCCAACCAGCAGCAAGGATGGGCAAAGACACATCCCCAAGACCTCTCCCACCACTTCTTTTCTCTGTTCCTCCTCCTCCCCCACTTCAGTCCAGATACTCGGTGTTTTTGCACTCATTCTCCACAGTAGACTCCTGACTGTCTCCCTTGCTTAGGCCTATCTGCATTTCCTACTCCTGCGTTCTCCTTCATACCAAGCAGGCTGGATTACGCTCTATTGCACATGCACCAGCTGAAAGTCCTCTGATGGTCCCCTTGGCCTTCAGCATAAACTCTGGATTAAGGATGCATGAGTCAGAATCCCAGCCTCACCTCTATCTAATCTTGGGCAAGTTGCTGAAGTTCTCTGCCCCTCAGTTCCTCTTTAAAGCATGGATACTAAATATCACCTACCAAATGGGGTAGTTATGAAGATTAAAAATGAGATGATACAAATAAAACTGTCTGTGCTACAGACACAGTAGATGATCGATTAAGTGTCAGCTCTTACTATTACTCTTCATCCATTATGCTTGCCTGGCACAACTCAACTCAAGTTCTAGAACTAAGAAAAATTAATTGAAATTCCTCAAGGGCCCCAATTTCCCATGGTTCCAGGTCCCTATACTTGTTTTGTCTGTTCAGAATGCCCTCAGACTCAGCTCTATGATATTTTCTAGGACCAATCCCTGAATCCAGGCCCCCTCCTAGGGTCCTACCCACTGTGCCTGCCTTGCCACAGTTTTTAACTTGTTCCACTACAACAGAACAATTTCCTCACTCTCTCCACACTGCGCTGGGAACTCTGCAAGGGTAGGGCTTTGTTCTCTCAATCTTTGTGTCTTTAATATCCTGCAAGAAATAATGAAAGTGTGAATGCATGAATGGTCTTTTTGAATCTCCAGATCAACCTGGAGAGGCAGGCATCCTCATGATTTACCACTGATGGATGAGAAAAGTGAGGT